TGTATTCTGAGATTGTATATAAAAGAAGACAGAAATAGATGCAGGATGGATAAATAAATTAATAATGAACAATAAAATGCCCAATATTTATAGAATTCCTAAAAATGAAAACTACTGTCCTGTCTGAAGCGACTCTAACCTAACTCACTTAAAAACTTGAAATAATATTTCAATAAAAAAACTCAACCATCACCAATGATGCTAAGGCTAAACAGAAAGACTCCTTAGGCCATATGATGTAATATGTAATTTCTCGTAATTAATGAAAGTATCCTGGCAGGCTTAACATAAATATCCCAACAAGTGGACCTGTTTAAATGAATTTTAAAATGAACTGTACTAAAGGAACTAGTAACCGAGTAACAAGATATTCATTGTTGTAAATTAAATTAGCTGACATGAAGTAGAAGTTCATGATTTCTAAATTTATCGGTAAGAAAAACGCGTCTCAACCTGCACTTGTCTAATCCCTTTACAATTGATGCATATCTTTGCAAAATTAAAATCCTAATCTGGTCAACAAAATCAAGACTTTATCAACAAACGTCTCATTTCGGCATTTTTACAAGGAAAAAATGTAGACAAATGTGTACCAAATGCAAATTTTCTTTGCTTACTATATTTATTCAGATATCGGTTGAAGTTGTATTGTTCTAATGTTTTTATTATTGTTGAAATCTTAATGGGCTTGCTCTTCACGTGACCATTAGATTGTTATTTTACTTTATTCTCAGTATTACTACCACTGTGAATAAATCACAAAACAACTACCTGTGATTTCCAGTCTTCACTATTTGTATAGACTAATAATATAGTGTTTGCTAATTAGATTACTTTAACTCTATTAATTAGGCCTGGAGAAAAAAATTTAACTGAATTTTAGATTTCTCCGTCGATTGATTAAATCGAAGTGCTCGGTCTCAGGTTGACAGTTTCGAAACCCACTGGGAACATCATCACTCACTGCGCAATGCAGGTATATCCAGATGACGAGTCACAAACAGGACGAAATCCGCATCCTGGATTCCACTGCTAGTCACCATCGACCAATTAAACTAGAGAAAAAAATGTTCACGGAAAAAGTTTTGACCACTAATAAGTAAGTTCGACAAAGATTTTGTAGCGACATCAGTTAAAGAATTGTTGAAAACCAAAGAGCATTAGATTGATGGAGTTCACTCCATCTGGTATGCAGTGACACTCATCAACATCAGGGTTTGGTAGTGGAGATATCCTATTAATTCACACAAGTTAAAATTCTTACCTGGTGACTGAATGTTCAACCTATTTACCTCACAGCCTGAAGATCTTGGTTTCCATTCCTGATAAAAAGTCTCAAACTAGGGTGAAACAATTAACTACTGCTGCTTAATTTTGACTACTCTCTAACTTGATTCGGTCCATTGACAAAATATACACTGGAATTAATCAGAATGCCTACAAAGTCGGTGGCACAGTGGTTAGGACTCTCGCCGACCATGCAAATGGTCCGAGGTTCGATCCCCTGCCAACCTACACGTGATACCTATGGTCGACCTGCAAAATTTGGGCTACCGATATCACATGCTGAAAATTCCATAGTTGTACCAAAAAATATGGTGTGGAATCAAGCTGTAATCAAAAAATAAATCAGTAAATAAAATAAATCTGAAAGTGTGTTAAATAATATGAAGTTTTTTTAGCACCTGTCATTTCCATAAGGGCTGACAAAATTGTGGAAAACATGTTTAAAATGCGGCGGCTATGTTTATTTAACGATCATCGATATTCATTGATATTCCTGAGTTTAAATAAAACCAACTGAAATTCTTAGAAAGACAAAAATTGTTTTGAAACTTATTTTTGTAGTAATTTTACCATTATAATCCACTGAAAATGCAAATATATTCATTTCTCAATGTGCTCGTCCACTACTACAAATTCTAACCAGTGATAATTACCTATTCTCTCGTGTGTTTTTTTCTTTTAATCCCTTGACGTTTTATTTAATCAACTTTTAGTTTGACTATTGACTAGATGAGTTCAAGCTCTAATTTAATAGTCAAAGAAAAAGTTAAAAGAAAGAACTGGTTTTGCTTAATCATTATTTTCATTATTTATCCACTGAACTTTTTCTACTCTATTTTTCTTGACCTTAACAAGCATAAATTATATACAAGAATATCTAGAGGTGAACGAATGACTAGTTGGTCTCTTCTTATTCACTGCTATTTAGTACTACTACTACTACAAATTTCATAATAGATAAACATCTGTAGTCAATATTTTAGGTTTTAATGATTTCATTTGAGTGAAACTATAAAGGTTAAGTGTAACTGGATTTCATCATGAGCTGACATTAGTTAGACAACCATTGGAAAACCTGGGAGTACTGGACAGCTGTTTAGCCCTAGTTTGGGACTCTTCATCAGTGCGTACCCACCGCCACGATTCGAACCCAGGACCTTCTGGTTACAAGGCGAGCGAGCTCGTAGACCACTCAGTCACTGGGACCTGATCCAATGGCCCATGAATTCCAACTTCTGCCAATTCACGACATAGCGTGACCGCTAGCCAATGTCTTCGGCGAGTATTCGTCCTCACACCCAACCTGCTGCACCCTACTGATCACGACTGGGTAACTGTTTACCGGCAACTTGTTGCCGGACACTATTTTAATCCCTTTCTTTTTCATTACATGTCACGTGAAAGCATTTCAAATCAGGTCAGTTTAAAAGTCTATGTTCACTGTTCTTTCTTATCAACAATAATTAACACTATGTGATCGCAAAATGAAATGTGTACACTGAAGGTGATTGTCAGGATGATGAAGTCAATTTCACCGTAGCAGCTCCTTCCCTCCAAGCTGGTTATTTACAGGCATTTGATTTCTTTCTGCTATGATAAATAATCCAAGTACTTTTCATATTTTTTTAAAAACTGTATTCACAGTTTAACATACATTTTAACAGCTAGACGTTATCTTATCATTACCATAGTACTATGTAAATAATTTACATGTAAACTTTCTTTATCAATTTGCCCTCTAGCTTTTATTTACACAAAGCCACATTCGGTATACGTAGATTCTTAGAAAACACTTTATTCCTTTATTGTGATTATTGTTTCACCATCTAGACGGACTGGAACAGATGACATTCATAAGTCATTTTGCTTTAAAAATTTCCATTTTGTTTTATTTGTGTTGGCATTAGTTCAAGTAAAATAAATAATAAAGAATCATACTAAATACAGTATTTTGGCAATTAGATTACCCCATTATTTCCTATGATGAATATGATGGTCATTAGTATCATATTGTGGAAAAACATATTCAAAATCTAAGAAGAATACTTTTTACTCAAACAGCTGAACATTTTTCAGACTTATTCGAATGCTTACTCTTTGTGTGCATCCTGTATTCTGAAAGCTAACATAACCGTATCAGTTGAGTTAATTCCCTGATAAGTCGAAATATTCAGTTTAGTTTAATGTGGCTATTTGGTTAAGATTTTAAAATAAAGTATTGTTATCACTGTAGAAATGATGGAACAAATAAAATATTAAAAAATATCAATAATAAATCTGATAACAACGTATTCAAATTTTTTTAAGTAAGAAATAAGGCAGTACACATCATTACTAACAGTTCTATACTACTTAGTGCATGATGGCTATACAAAACAAGGTTCAAATGAAAATAGACGTATATTCTCTGGCACATAAAATACTTCGATTCATTCACACTTTTCCTGATACTTCATTCCCAAGCTATATTTTGATGCAAACTGACAGTCATTATTAATGGATGCATAGATCGATAGCTTGAATGATGTACAGGAAACTGTTGTTTTCAACCAACCAGATTACCTGAAAGTGTTTGCTTTCATTTGCTGCCTGTCTGCAGAATCGTTTTCCTACGCTTAGTCTAGAGTAGGAAAAGTACTGCGGAACTATATCACTTGTTGTATAAAAAATTATCACCATAATTGGATTTAGTCAATTTTCATGCATATATATATATATTTCGTAAACTGCCTGTCATTTTGAGTCAGAACCAGCCGTCGTCTATCAGTGGAAAACTATCTAAAATAATCTCATCATTAAATAGATTTCAAAACGCGTGTTATATGGGGAATATTTCCATTACAGTAGTCTGTGTCATTTTTAGATAGTGACGTTCAAATATTGTATAAACTAAAAATATACACTAAATTCCAAATGTCCCTGTCTTTTGAAGTTAATTTAGGCGAGACAATTAATTCATAGGTAATTACCGCCATATGTGTGCGCATGACGCAAGAGTTTTATCTGAAGTCAAGGAAAGGGTTTAAAGACATCGCAATAGGTGTGGTTATTTGTGCGTTAGTCGCTTTAAAAAATCCATTCACAGTACTCATAGCATATGTTTAGCTCAAATGGGCTAACACTCGTGTTATTACCAGTGATTTGGAATTCTTGTTTCAAATTGCTGTAGACCTAAAGGAATTCATGAACCGTATGATTTAAGAGTAGAACTGTCCAAAGAATAGATAGTATGAACTACGAATAAACCGACAGTAAAGTTGGAAATATCAATGCCCCAACTTTTATTCTCTCTTCAAGATATAATTTTGCACAGGATACATTTAGATTTAGGAAAATGTACATTTTTATAATTTTTCTTTTTTCTTAATTCCCTTGAAGTGCGCCAACTACTTCGTTGATATGAAACGTTGAAAGAATATCTCAACACTCTATTGCTGACATGAAGTCACAGGAAACGCTAACAAACAATCATCACTGAAATATCCGGCACCTTTCTTCACCTTAGAATAATAATACACTTAGTTTAATCCAGAGTAGATTAACAGAAATATAAAACATTTAACTACTTCAATAAATTTCTGATTATTAACATAATAACTTACTTTAAAATCCTTTTGGAAAGAAAGTATTTTGCTGACTGAAAAGGAATTTCATTTAATCGTATTTAAAATTTATTCTCAATTATTTCTTTGTTTGTTTTTTCTACCCTACAGTTATCCACAAAAACTAAACGTGTATTTATCGGTGGAGTTGCAACTCAGACTACAAATGAAGAACTCAGTGAATACTTTAGCCAATTTGGCAAGGTTAGTGAGATATTTTATACATAAAATTTTTTCACCATAATTATAGCTGACTTTAACTATTCCAAGCTTGTAGAACGTTACTACCAAAGAATACTGGCTTACTGATAACAAACCAAAGTGAATTACATTAGAAAGTCAAAAGTATTTTTGTACATCTAAAAATGATAGCTTAGCTGTTGATATATCATTTCATTAAAAACAAATTTACGATAATGAACTAATGGCTTTCATTCCTGCATTTATTTGAGAACCAACAGTATTAATACTTACCCCGATTATCGCTTTATCAATACATACTGTATGTTTTATTTGTAGTGTCACATATAACCTTAAAGATATAGCTGACATTCTACTGAAATCCCAAGCAAGTAGTATATAATGAATAAATATTTCAATTATCGTAAAAATGGACGTCAAGAAATGCTTCGTAGTTCGTTTTTTGTACTGGATCTTATCGTATTTACTCATAGACAAAAGTTCTAAGCATGAGTCATTCACTTGGAAAACTGTCTTTTAAAAGCATCTGTCACAGAGCATTAGAGAATTGTATACCACTTCTGTTCAGTTTCTTTTTCTTTTCTTCACGTTCCCTAGTGGAACATAGAGCTTCAAGCTAGTGGCTTGAAGTTTCTGTAACAGTGTTTATTTTTATGGGATGAGGTCGCTAGCCTCATTTCCAACCTTTCCTGTTTACCAGCATTATTTTTGGCTTAGCTAGGTAAAGGAGTGCGTTGGCGGCCGGGGATCGAACCCAAGACCATGTGCATGGTCGGCGAGAGTCCTAACCGCTATGCCACCAACGCACACACAACGGTAAATCCACTAAGTGAAATTAAAGACTGTACTCGTCAAAATGCCGAATAAAATGGTCAGTCGCGTTATTTTAAATTACAATACTTCAGGATTTCATCATGAGCTGACATTAGTTAGAGAACCATTGGAAAACCTGGGAGTACTGGACAGCTGTTTCGTCCTAGTTTGGGACTCTTCAGCACACTTGAATACAATACTTCATTCAAATACAGAATCAACGTTCAACTTGCACCTTTGTATTAAACTACACAACGAAGTATGACACTACAGTTGACTCTGCTTATATGCAAAAAGGAAGATTTCAATATGACAGGATAAAATGTGTTAGAAAATATTAGTTTTATTGATAAAAATACCAGCTGACTAATAAATCTATTTTGTCTCTCTGGTGTTTATTTATATGAATTCCCGAATGAATGTCGTTGTTGAACATCAAAAGCACTTGATATAAGTTCTGTTTTTATTGAAGTTAATTTTGTCCTGAATTCCACTGACCTATTTCAACCTTGAAAACTAACAGACTGTATGCATATGTTTATTAAGACAGAAAAAAGGGAAATTACTGTTGTAAATTCTAATGACAATAACAGTACGAGACATTTTCTTTTAAATTTAGTCTCTCCCTTCATTAAGTGATAACAGTTGGTAAAATGCTACTGTTCACCTTTTTTCCATTCTTTTTTGTCTCTTTCATACTTTTGTGTATATCTTTATTCGGAAAAATTTTCGCATTTCATTGTAAGTCTGATTTACGGGATTATTTCCAGGGGAGAATATAATGCGTTTGTACTGGTGTTTTTTCCAACCGTAGATTCACAATTACATCTCCACCCTAATTTTTTTTTACGTATCGTCATTCAGGAAATATAGGTATAGAGATGGATGGGTGAATACATAGGATTATTTTGGGAAGTCATACAAGGAAGTAGGAATAAAATGAAATTCCTGTGTATTTTAGATGGTCTAGATAAAAATATTTCCCCCTGAATATCACTGACTAGTGTGATTAGATTTTACAGTTTCACAGACCTCTCACTGTCATTTATTTGACGTATTCGACAATTTTGCTAATTCACTGTGAAGTGATCAAAATAAGTGGAATTTTCTATCGGTGATTGGAGACAGTCATCAAAAAGCCCTTGATCTAGGCTTTGTAATTGTTGGTACCCATCATCTAGGCATATCAACGACCCCGAAGATTAGAATCCTCATCAAGCCGTTTTGTAGTCACAAAATTTTACTCTAAGATGTTTGGATTGATGACTAACCTCCTGTAGGAATGTGATAGATACTCTGAGTAATGACTAGGAAGCTGCTTGTGTCTTGTTGATCGCAGCTCCAACCACCTAACATAAGTTCAGAGTACACCACGCTTATGAGTCACTTAGCTTTTCAACAACGTCTCAAACTTGAATGATAGAATTTGGTCAGTACCAAGACTAAGGACTAGGCACATAACACATGGTTACTGTTTGTGATCAGTCATTGACCAGATTTCTGGTTTGTAAAATTTCACTGTCTTTTGTAACGATAATAGGGAACTTTACAAAAAGTGTAGTCACAGGTCATATATTGATTTTGAGACAATAGTAGTATAGGTAAAAGTCTGTCTAGTGACACTATAAATAAAAACATGTTGATTACGTCACTTTAACACTAATACATATGAAAACTGTCAATCATCTGACGATGAAACTATATACGCTGCGGCTTTTTTAGAAGATGTTAATCCATATAGTCAGCAAATTATATATTAGAAATATAAGAAACTGTTTAAATAAGTATGAATACCTATTGTGCTGTAATACAAATGTTGATAATTACACTATTAAGTTTGACAATTCAGTGAATCATTTGTAGAAACAAATGGGTGTGGTGTGTTAACTTATAAAAAGATTAATCGTGTTAATCTTGATGTAGAGTAGTATTAATTTCTTCATTAAGTCTGACGATGAAAATATCAATTATTATTGAGAAAATGTGTATGTGATAAGACTGCTAAAATGATATTAGCATCGTTTCTACTTGTTTATGGTGAATCACAAATTTACTTATTTAATATAAAGCCAATTCAGTTTAGTGTTCATAAAACAGACAGTTATGTATGCATTGGACTACTGATGGAAATAACAAATCCCAGTATAAATAAGATCAATACGTCTAAATTGAAAAACAAAAACAAACTACTGGATAGGTGAAATACATCTTAACAGACATGCGAATTAAACATCCACTTATATCCTTGTAGTGAATACCTCACCTTAAATTATGTCATGCAGAGTAATGGCCTCTGTTGTGGTGTTAAAACAGAAACAAACAAGCAAACAAACAAGAGAAATCATTCTTCAACAGCTCTCTGTATTATAATGAGATACAGTAGGATTTTCCATCCTGTGTAATGTATAGAATGACAAAATAAATTCATCATTCAATCTTTAAAATAGAAGCATGGTTTGTTTAAGAATCGTCAAATTATGCTTAAAATTTTTACCCCCTTAATATTTTAGCTTTTTATCAAACAGACATATCTTCTTAATGCTCGTCTTCAGCGTAAAAGTGTTCTGTGAAGATATTCATTTATATTGATTTTATTAATTTACGATCTCATCGGAACACTGGGCTTCAAGATTGAGCTTTGACGTTTCTGTAGCACTAGTCTTATTTTTAGAATATGAGGTTGCTAGCCTTTCTCCCAACCTTCTCTCATTATCAGTCTTACTACTGGCTAGGCAAAGTAAAGCAGTGCGACGGCCAAGGATCGAACCCTGGACTTTGTGCGTTGTTGGTGAGCATTCCACCACTGAACCACCAAGGCACCGAAAATGAGAAGCAATTATTTCAAGCAGTGCAGTGTATATCTACCGTCAAGATTGTATAATAACACATTCCTCCATGTATGAACAGAAGAAATACATTAATCAGTTTTCATTTGTTGATCTGTCCATCATTTAGTTGATCAGATAGTCAAGTCAGTTATTTAAGTAGTTTATTTTCATACTGATGAATTTAAATGTCCGGCTTCTGTACGCCTACTAGTACGACATTTAATTGCAGTTAGTTTTATTGACTCTAAAAATCAGTAATCTTTTAGTATGAATAGATTATGAAATTAATATATATATGTAATCGACAAGAATTCATCCACGCGACCAACATTTTGGGTCAGTAATATGACTTGACGTCAATCAAATCCCTGCATACCAACAGTTGAAAATTAATCTAATGGAGAAATATATTCTTATTCTTACCATTCATTCATTACATGATGGAGAGCACAGAGTCCCAGTGAGAGTCGGTTGCCATTGGTGACCTATATGTCAGGTTTCAGAGTAGGTAGTCGTCGACGACACTGGTTGATGTTGGTGCTTTTTATCGCCAGCTGGTAGAAGTTATAATTGATGGGCCAATGGCTTTTATTAAAGTGGGTGGATGGTTATTTGGCTCATCTCGTAACCCAAAGGTTCTGGGTTCGACTCTCAGTGAAGTCATTGGTGTATGTTGCCGAAGATTCTCAAACTAAGGCGAAAGAGCTTCCCAGTATGTTTTTCAGTTTAGTGGTTCTCCGAATGATATCAGTCAATCGAATCCCTGAAAACTAACACAAATTTATCAAGTCAGTTAGTGCTGATACTGTTTGTGTTGCACTTTATCAGGTGTCAAATATTTATGTGACTTCGTAACTAGGTAACAGTGAAAACTGTTGAATGGTGGGCACTGACACTAGTGCCGCGTAAAACAACCCCCCCAGGTGGGCCCCAAATATTAAAACTAGTGATTTTCACAGACCTAATAAACAAATTCCAGATAACCTTCTACACTGTAATTATTATTTAACTGGATTTAATGATCGCATATTATACTTTTTACTCTGAGCCAACTTCACGCACTCAAAATCATGTTTCACACTAGTAAAATAATAGGATTTGGTTGCACACTGCACTCGGTCAGGTAGAACACCTAAATAATTCTCTTGTAGAACATTCTGTATTTAATAGAATTCAGATGTAAATTGCTACTCTAACCTAACACTGAGAACTATTCTAAGGTTAGAACAAAATTCAATGTATAAGATTTACAAAATGGGAGTGGAAATTTTTCATGAGATCCTAAACCTTTTTCAGTCGAAGTTTCAAGACATCATCTCTGCTAAAACTCTGTGATACGATGAAAACTATTTGATTAAGAACAGAAAATGAAATGTTTTGACAATAATTTGTTTTCGCCAATTGACACTGTGACACAGTTTATCACATGATTAAAAATGAAATAGGATAAAAGACTTTTTTTCAATTTACTTCATTAGTCTTTAATCATATAAAAAGAAACAAGAGATGAAAGCAAAATGCTGCAGTAGATATTACTGAGAAAAGTAGGCTATGCGACATACATATGCACGCACAAATATTTATATTCATTAGGTCAAGCAAAATATCTCTATTACTGTATGTGGCAAAATCACAGATAAACCTTATGAGACAGTGTATAATCGACAGTCATCGACATTATTGAGTACACAAGTTCATGCTTCAATTTGTTCCCATAATACTTCTGGGCATTTCATTTTAATCTTGTATTTATGTGCCGTCTTTAGGCATGAATATAATATATATATATGTACATGCCTAAAGCCACCCGCTGTGAGTAATAATTAATTCCCACAGCTTGTATAATAATATAAATGGAGCAGTGGTGAGAGAAGATGCAATTATCAAACTTTTACAGTATTTCATTTCCCTACATAAAATACACAAAACTTTATCTCTTATTATGAACTTCATTCTTTTATTATTATTGTTATTATTATTAATACTAATAATTTAATTATTCCCTAATCATTCTTTGTCTTTTCTTACACTGATCACCTGATTGAACATAACCACTTTTGTAACTTCTAAATAACGATTATCCTTCAAAGCCTAAATTGAAACTGTTTGATCTTTATGTAGCCTATGGCAAAAATAACTCTGTTAATTCACAATTCTACGCTGACTGACACACCCAAATGAATTTAGGACAATTACCTAGTGGCTTAGATATCAAACAACAACCCTGAAAATGAGGTGTCGCTGTACATCTTTGAATAAATGCATAGTAAAGTGATTTTGTTCCTTAGTGTTTATTTAACAGCCAGTGAATTAATATTATAATGCATTAGTCTACCAGAGCTACTGCAATCCATACATGTCGTCTGTAAAATTGTCTTTCAACTCAGTAAATGCTCAGATCCACTGGATAATTGAATAGAGATAATAAACCCTACTGAAAAAATTATTCTTTTGACTTTTTCGCCTGAAATAACCACACACAGACCCTTGTTGACTTTCTTTTTCGCCGTAAAAAAATGAATTAGCTGACTGAAACCTTATTGGATAAATACCCTGAAATCTTTTGTTACTGACTCCCACAGTCATAATGATGAATAGTTTTAAACTCTGAAGTTATTAAATGTGTCGACACACATATAGGGAGAACTAATCGCGCTTCATAAGTGATGACAAATGAGATGTACCAAAATGGTATCTAAACAACTGAAATTCTAAGCCTTGATGAATACAAATAAGAGACTATCAGCCTCCACCACACCGAAGCATACTGTTGACATTAGTCTTGAGATTAAAGCTGAAACAGCTTTCAATATCCTATGCAAAAACCACCAGCGACATATAGTAGAGTATTTTGAAGCCATAGTCAAGCTCACAGTTAAATGGAGCATTTTAGTTTTCCACTTAACCTACATTGGTAATCTTTATTTGATTAAATTACCAAGAGTGTCAAACATCATCTTATTCTTATCATCCAAACTCTCATATTCATTATTATTTTACTTGAACTGGCTTTTATCTCTTCATTTACACACAAATCGATATGGTAGGTAGATGTATGATTTGATTTTTCGAAATGTATTGTGCAAATACATCTCATTTTTTAAAAGATAAACTTCTTTTATTAAAGCCTAATCTCTAGAATGTTAATGCTAGAGACAAATTAAAAGCATTCTAGAAATTGAAATAGCTTCTGCTTCACTCTATAACATATTCGTTTAAAATTCAGTAAGCTATCTCAACTAAAACATCATTAGGTTAAAGCACGTAACACAGTGGTATTATCTTGTAAAAGATATAAGAAAAAGTTTTCTTGATTAAATTTATCACTAGTTTGCGTGTGATGAAACTACAGCTAAGTTACTTCTCTTTGAACACTTAACAATTATCCTGTTTGGCGCTATAAATAAACTATATTTTTATAAATAGTACTAGATAGATAGTAAGGTAGATGAGATGTGTTAAAGGGAAGAGAAAGAAGTGTGAAAGACAGGCGAGTCTTGCTTTCCCATCAAACAGTTTTTTGCCAACACAAACAATAAACAAAATTAGAACTCTTAATTTTATTACTGTTTACACTTGTGAACTAAAATGTTCTTCTGTACCACCATGAAATATATACACATATGCTCTCACAAAATAGTATTTTAGTGATAAATCTTAGTCATATAATTTTTGATGCTATAGAGTAATTGTATTTTATCATCTTGTGAAACTGCCCTGAGATCTATCAGTCATGCACTAATAATCAATATGGTTTGTAATGAAGTGTGACATCCAGGTTATTACTTTAATCAATCAATTTTTCAGTTATTCAGTGACACTATTTTTCTTTATTCTGTCTCTTTTGATTTTCTTCACCCATCTTTTTTAATCTATATCTGTTGGTTGTGTTGCCATAGTGATAGCAGAATGACTTTTTTAATCAGCTTTTTTGTATTTTTTATAAAATTCACCCTATTGTTCAGTTTTAATACCGAAGAGATGAGCGTAACTGATGCTCTTCTTGAAATAAGAGCAAATACGGTTTCGTCCTTGAGTCTGCCTGCCTACGTCAGTTTAATGCATTCAACTTACTGAATCACAGTTGCTGAATTCTGATGTTTACTTTCATTGAATAAGGTATGAATTCCAAGAAAAAGAAATTGGCTATAAAAAGACAATCATTTGCATGCATTGATATTTCGGGTTCTAAAAAATTTCTCTTATACGATCTACTTAGCTCTCTATAGTCATATCTTGCCTTTAATGCATTTCACCCATGATAAAGTGTCTAGTTTAGCATCTACACTCTATCAAATAACCAGTTTTCATTCCCTTAAATGCTGAAAGTTTTTAATTAAGTGTAAGATGTTTTATAGTCTACTTATTCCTATTTCTTCACCTGACTATTAAATATGATCTGAGGTCACATTATTTAGCTCTTATGTTATCTTTGGAATAAAAGTGAATCTAATGCTCATCTCTTTCATTCAGAAAACTCATCTTATTATTATTTTCTGCAATCTATTAACTACCTTTTACCAATATATGACTATATGTATGGTATGATTATTATTCATAAATATGCAAGACTGTGAGATGAAATGTTATAGATTTGCCCACTATGGCATCAATGGCTTGAGGAGTAGTTTACAACAAAAGTCAGTAAGATTACTGTGTAAGCCAACTTTTTACTTAGAAAATGCGAGGCTCATCTGGTGATGCATTGGATTCACTTCAGAGTAATCATTAATGATTAGGAGTATCTTATATCACATTAATCTTTGACGATCACTGCTCCATTTCTTAAGTTTATAGCATTATATTACTTAGTTGATATTGGCCAGCAGTTGAAACTAAGACTTGCTTTTATTTTGTTTGAGATACGTTGGTTGGATGGATTTTCGTCCTCAGTGATGTATAACAAGTGTATAAAACTATACTGTAAACAAACTATGAAGTAGTAGATAGATAGATTGCTTTTGGAATAAATTTCCACACGTAAAATATGAAATTAACGTAATCAGAAACCAAACTGACCGCCCACTCAAATTACTGGGCTACCAAAAATATCCATCCATCATAATTCTTAAAACTTTCTGCATTTCCTATTATTTCATTTCCATTTATCACTATATAAACTTGCGCATATATTTAATTAGCTTTCGAAAAGTGGCTGCCCAGTTCTCCAAGGAAATGTAGGCGAAATATAGAGGATTGAATCTTTTTGTATTCGAAACAACACTGTTTCGCACGATATACTGCAAATTATTAATTTACCTGTAGAGCCTGTTTGAAGAGGAAATATTTTATCTCTAAATACTCTGAGATTTTATGTACTAGGTGTTAACATATCTGAAAAAACCATTATTATTAATTCCTTATTAAGAAAATTGTGTAGAAGCTTGTCTTTCTATAGTTATCTTCTGTTATGAAATAAACCATTATCATATCCTAGTTCAGGACAATGAAATACATCTTAAAGTACACTGAGTTAGACCAAAATATCTAAGACAAAGCGCAATGTTTAATTTGTTTTGCGTTATTCATTCTAACAAAAAATTTATAAGTATATCCTTTATTAAACGTTGAACTAATCTCAACTTTCTTTTTGCTTAACAGCTGGAATCGTGTGAGTTAATGATGGACAAGTCAACTAATCGACATAGAGGTAAGCTGAGTTTAAATGATTACCAATATATTTAATATTTTTGATTATGTTGATGACCATTGTGAATATATGTAGGAGTATATTTTCCCCATGTATAAAAGAGCGAAATTTGAACTTCGGATAAACTGTACTATCCATACAAACCAATACTTGAAAAACCGTACTGTATCGACTAACTTCATAGACCTGATAATTATTTATATTTTCAATTCACTTCAATTAATAAGTTTCTGAAATGATGCAATAACTTATTTTTGTGCTGGAATTCTAGGCGTCTGTTCGCTGAATTGTGTCATGCTATTCATCTGAAACCCGTAATAAACAAGCTGTTTCTTTCCACAGCAAATAAAAATACAGTGAAAAAAACAGTCAGTAAATTGTCTTACCGTTTAGTTGGAAATCAGTTTCCCATCAACTAAAAATTCTAATTATCAATTGAGACTTTTCTCTGCCTACTGCAAATTTAGAATATTTTTAACAAATTTAAACTATCAGTGAACACTCTTATATTCACTGAAATAATATTTTTCGAATTTCCTGTTCAATGGTTTCAACAAACTAAAATGCTCGGTTTCTGTTGACATATCGCATTCTAACACGGTTTCTCTGACAATGTCTTGATATAATGCTATTTGTTTGATGGTCGTCAGTAGTAGACTGCTTTTATGCATGAACTGCTAGTGAGCATTGTACATCCATAACAAATGGTTTCTGAATAGGAAATATTATATTCAGATGGGAAGGGATATTAAGTACTAAAATTCAAGATAACTTTATGGTTAAGAGGCTGTATTAAAATATTTAATAATTTTATCCACACAATTACTACAAAATCATTTTCATTGTATCCTCTAAATATCAAAATTTATCTGCACATACAATGAAGTCATCCCCTTCTTAGTTATTGTACAGAGGGGTAATAAGTAGTACGAGCAATTAAATCAGCTTTATTTTAATGTGAACAAAGTAGTAAATAAGGTTCAATTTAACTTCATAAATTTGCACTTATTTGTTTACTTATCTTGTGATTTGAAAATAAAAAGTTTAAGTAGACAGTTTGAAACAGTTTTGCACTCTGTTGAGAGATAATAATTTCTATTTTATCTTTGAAATGAACACTTTTGTCGTGCTACATTTAGGGTGCATTCATTTGAAAAGAAAAAAAAATGTAGTCTATAGAACTAAAATTATAATAACAATGCTAATAATAAAAGGAACTATCTTGAATATTAATCGCTTCTCTTTGTACTGATTATAGATGAAGAGTAATTCTCAACTTAGAGGAAAACAAGGAACCTCATTGTTATTCCTTAGGATAAAAAAATAAGAAAACGTGTAACCAGCTAATGAGGTGCAAAATTATTAGTGCACCATTTCTCAATCTGTTAAATTCAAGAACACAAAAGTGACAATAAAAACAAAATAGTAAATTACAAGAGATGAAAGTTAAACGTTTAGGCTGGTGTAATGTCTATTTGTTAAGATAAGTTTAGACGAATATTAATCAGTTGAGTATTTGTTCTATAAGAAGTTAATTCTGGTCATTCTAACATTTCGAAATTCTACATATGCTTCTGTGTAACGTATCCGTTGGCATAAAAACGCATATCAAGTATGTTACATTAAGTAGATTTATTTGAAGCCCACAGTGATACAGTTAATCTTGATAAATATATATATATATCAACAACAACAGACAATCAGCCAGCATAAATGGGAGAAACCTGAAAAACACAACCTCCTTTACCTACCTGGGAAGCATCGTTTCAAGTACAGGCGGAACTGACGAGGATATCAAAGCCAGAATCTGAAAAGCAGAACAAGCTTTCATCATTCTTAAGTCTTACATTAAGCGTCAAAGATAAGATCCGGATTTCAACTCCAATTTAAAGTCAGTGCTACTCACTATACGGATCAGAGACTTGGCGCGTCATAAAAAGCATCTCAAACAAACTTCAGACCTTCATTAACAGTTGTCTTCGCTCATTACTCAAGATCAGATGGCCGGCCACAAAAGATCAGCTACAGGGATCTCTGGCAATGAGCGAACCAATCAGGAACCGATTGTGAAACAAATAGGCAGGAAGAAATGGAGCTAGGTGGATTGGCCATACTCTGAGGAAACAAACCATCAAGTGACATCACTAGACTAGGCCATTGCTCGAGTGGAACCCAAAAAGGAAGCGGCGAGTTGGTCGTCAGTTCAAGGGTGGGTTGACTTGGAGGAGGTCATGTGAAGAGGAGATGAAAACATGTAGGCAGCTTTGGAGCGGGATGAAAAAGTTGGCATACAACCGAAGGCAATGGAGACGTGTAACTGAAGCCCTATGTTCCTCTAGGAATTAAAGGATACAATAATATATATATATATATATGGGTACGACTGATAATCCTATGTATCACTATGATTTTTTGTCGAAACGCTTATCAGATCTGATAGACAATTCTTAAAATATTCCTACACATTATGTATATTTTTTTTCTCGGAAATCTTTGATATCATATATACACATATTTTCAAAAACATTGTATTAAACTCAGATGCTTGTTTGTCATTTCAGGCTTTGGTTTCGTCACCTTTGAATCTGAAGAGTCAGCAGAAAAAGTCTGTGAAATCCATTTTCATGATCTGCATAATAAAATGGTGAGTTAGTCAATATCTAACAAATATTCTTTCATTTCACTGCATGTAGTAGATAATTATTGACGTTAATTTGATTGGGATAATGTAGAAACTTTACATAGAAGAAACATTAAAAATGTCACAGTATTTCTAAAAGCGTTTTACTCAAATGAATCAGCAATGCACAAACACATTACCATAGACCAAATTTACCACCTAATAAAGAATAAGTCACATGACAAAAAAGTTCAAATTCCAAGTCAATAAAAATGACATATATCAATAACCATTCATGACAATGATTTTCAGGAGATACAATTATATCATTCTTGGAGAATTCAAACAAGTTCATTTCAAACTGAAACCTGCACTGGATGGATAGATCGACTGCGACTTTACAACAACCACATGGATTATATTAGATGCTATAAAACATTTCTTGTTATCTGCTGGTGTTAGGTACACAAATTGATCTTTTTGGTCAATGAATGTATTTGGTATCCTAATAAATGTTTTCTTTATGAGAAAGTTAGGCTGATATGAATTTCATATTAAATTCGTTAAGATGTACTCGAGCATATATGTAATTTTCAGGTAATATATATATATATATATATATATATATATAATATATATTCGCTAATCCATTAAAACTTGTTTCATAGATGTATTCAGGATCTATAGGATTCAACTGTTCTCTTCCCATATAAACAATATGGATATCTAAAATAGCAGTTACTGCTCATTGATATTTCGGATTAATCGATCCACAAGACAGAAGATCACAACTGAAACATAGTATTTATCTTATGAAAAACAGTTTTTAACCATAAGCGGCATCTGTTCATTACCACACGCTAATGTACATTTTTCTGGTATCTGCCTTGAGAGCCAAAACAACTGCATGATAAAAACACTTTAGATAAATTGTGATTCATAGTGTGCATAAGTGTACTCGCAAACTCAATTAACAATAATCTGCAACCTTTGATATTATTCTGACCTTTAAAACAGTAAAATTTGTGCAGGTTACCACACGTTTTCATGACTGAATGTAGTAAAGAGATTATAGTTCAAACTGTCTGAAATAGTCTCATTGTAATAATCTGCTGTTAACATGTGCATGTTGTCACAGTAAGTAAAAGTACTCCTAGGAAGTGAGCATAAACTAGCATAAAACTCATTCAGCTAATGAATAAACTTTGATTGAACACTAGTAAGTAGTTTGATGCGTCTGGGCGTTACTTTGATGCAGACTGATTTATGTCAGTAAGGTTTTACAATGTGGCCTCCATTCTAGGTAGCTCGCCATCACGGTGCACAATGTTGTGATGATGGTTAGAGGCAATTGACTGGAAGCCACACCTGACCTTAGTTTCGTGTTAGTTGGTACTCACTAGTCAGCAAGACGTACCTGCAACCTTGAAGGAACTCATGTCCCTTCTGAGATTCGAACCCGCATCACCCAATACTGCAGTCAGAGACATAACAACTGTGCTATTTGGGCTCGCGATTCATAGAATTCAGCCTGCATCAAAGATAGGACTAGACACACAAACATATTACACTAGTTACCAGCTAGTGTCCGATCAACAATATCCCATACAGTGCTACAGGAGGTCAATCGGGAGCCCCAATAGCTCAGTGGTAACGTCTCTAACTGAAGCACTGGGGATGACACGCGTTCGAACCTCAGAAGAGACATGAGTCCCTTCGAATTTGCATACACCTCTTGCTGACTGGTGAGTGCCAACTTACACGAAACCTAGGTTGAGTGTGGCTTCCAGCCGACTGCCACTAACCATCTAATAATGAAAAACCTACTGGTATTTAATAAATACAACCACTTTCACATCATACACAAATCAAGTCGACAACATAGTTGAGCCTTTTCTTTTTTGCAAGTACCCAGGACCACAGTTATAAGAAACACTTGTATCTACTTGATTTACTGCTATTTTGACATCAATAATAATATTATTTCCAAAGTCCGTAATATAATTACTGAGACTGGAATGAACAATTTTTCCATGTTTACTTAATTGACACTGTCTATTACTCTAAAAGTAGGATTTCATTCGAATTTACCTCAATAAAAGCATTTTAAAGGAATTTTCGTGTTATTTTAGTTAACTAAATTCCAACAGCTCTTTTCTCTTTTTCATGTCTTTCTGCTTCATTCTTCATAAAACAGAAATAGTTATTCTCAACTGGTATACACAGACAGATCATTTTGGTTACGATATATCTTATATGTTCAGACTAAATCCTGTTGCACAGAAGTGTAATAAAGTGATACAGACGCTTTGCCACTGATTTGTATATCTTGTTTTAACCTAATATGGTCTCTTTCATTTGGTATTTCGTGGTTTATTTATGTTTGTCTGTGTCAAATCGCAGATCAGTAAAAATGAGTACTGGGGATTTCATATTAATCATTCTTGTCTAAGTTTTAAAAGAATGAAGAACTAATATGTAAATCTTTGAACAGTGAAACAAAATAACATGGAAATTTTGTTTTGTCTGAACTGCACCTAGTTCTGATGTACAAGGTAACATAATCCGTCGACAGCCATATTTATTTTATGAGAACTCAGTTAGAAACCTAAAATTGGTGCACGGAAAATAAAAAATCAGTCTTTAGGTTTTTCATTTTACTCATCACAGGTACCATGTCCATATATTTCCATATCGGCGTGTACATCATAGCATATATGCGGACGTATCTATGTATGAGTAAATAATGACTTAATAGTGTGTTAACGAAATCTCAGTCAACTGACTCAAAAGTATATACATAGCGGACTTCAATTTTCTGGTTCAATTTTCAGGATAGACAACAATCCTCACTTTTTTATGCTTTTTACTACATAGACTTGAGAAATACCGAGAATGCCATTTTTCCAATAAATAAACTTCCCAATTCTATCGTAATGGTTTTGTAGGGATTGTTGGTTTGATTGGTTGGAGTATTTCATCATGAGCTGACATCGATTGGAGAACTATTGGAATACATGGGAGTACTGGGCAGCTGTTTCTTCGGCCTAGTTTGAGTCTCTTCGGCAGTACTCACTCACAATTATGGTTCGAACCCAAAGTCTTCTGGTTACAAGGCGAACTCGTAGACAACTAAGCCGTTGTCACTCGACCAGGTGACCCATGAATTCTAACTTCTGCCTTATTTATGACATAACGCGACCACTTAGCAATGCCTTCTTCGATAAGTTACTGCCTCACCTTCAAACTGCTGTACCCTACTAGTCATGGCCTCCCTCTAGAACCCCAGGTCACTGCCTGAATAGAGCGAGTCGCTAGTGAGCATCAGATCAAATTTGAAGTATTGGGTATCCAGCTCATGGGGAAATCCTCAACGAATTCTGTCGAAGTTTCTCAACCTACCAATTTTATTCTATTACAATTCTTTCTGTTCACAAATTTTATTGTATTAAATTACTCATTTTAGCATCTTTCACAGTCCTTCTAGGATAAAAATGAAGTTTAAAAAATCCTTTGTGTCTAATTAATTAACACGAAACCTCTTTCTTTTTCTTTTGCTGAACTATTCAGTGTTAGGATTATTAAATGCTAATTCATCAAATTGATGCATGAAAAAATTGTCTACAAATTTTTTTAAACTGAAGACAGTAACTCCTGAATACGTTACATACACGTAAAATCACAGCTAAAGAAGACTTCATCCATACGTCTATAATTTTACTTGATGTCTTTTTTTATTTCACTTTAATATTAGTTTATAATAGAGAAACTAATTCATCGTGCTTATTCAGTGGATGTAAATGAATTATAGCGTATAACAAAAACTCAACCAACTTCTATATGCACTCTTCCTAGATTAGGCAAGAGTTTTGAATATTCAGCTTGTGTATTCGGTGTGATTTCAAAGTCTTAGCCACTACTATATAGTTATTAGTAATAAATCTAGTGGTAATCAAAATAAATTACTATCCTTATAAATCAATAAATGACACTCGAATCTCCTAATTTTCTAACTACAAGCAGTTAAAACAGGTTCACCGTGCGAAGAAATATCTCTAAAGTCTAGAACTCTGAAATTCTCCTAAAATTCTGAAGGACATTTAATTTATTTGAAATGAAGACCTCATCTAAAAAGGAATCCTAAAACAGTCAGTAGAAGTGGAAGATAGCAATTCGTACGTTTGTATGTTTCGAGTAACATAGTCTGTTTTTGTGAATTCTGTCAGGCAAACTAAGACTCTCTCAAATAGTCTGTTCACAAAAAGAAAACTGCTAATTTAGTATGAAAGAATATAAATATATCAATCTGTCAATATTGCATTAAACTAGAACATGTCATTTGACGATTTTTACAAAGTAGCTGTATTACACAGTAAATTTAGTCAAAAACTATTTTAATAAAAATAATTTCTTCCATTTGGACAAACGTATAGTCATTTATGTAGTATTCTTTGCGTGAAAGAGTCTACGGCTAAACAGTTTAAAACTTTACTAACAACATATTATTTTCTGTTGCTTAGCAATATTCGAATATTTCTGTTTTAGCTAAATATTCAAATGGTGTAACCTTGAAAGATAATAAACGAATGTGAATGTTATAAATTCTATATGAATTTGAATTTAGTGATATAACCAATGCCTTTTGAAGCCTTCATATGTGACATATTTAAGCAAATAGCACACGGCTTGGAGAAAAACAATTATTCATTCTCTAATATCGATACTTGTCATTCAAGGAAAGCAGTAATTTGTGGACTGAATGGAAAGTATTTATATGTGAAGAGTAGGATGATGTGTTATAGAATGTTAGGAAATTCCAAAAGTATGACGTAAAAACTGGAAAAGTTAACTTCATGTCTGTAGAGTTTAAGGGAGCTAGCAAAAAAACCCTCTATGGCAAATTAATATTTTAATTAATTAATTAATTTAATCTTATTATGGATAGTCAATTAATACAGGCTGCAGTTTACCATTTCTTCTCAATAACTTGAATTTGTGTGTATATTGAGCAGTCCGAACATTTCATTTTATAAGACTTATCACTGATTTCTAAACTTTAGCCTAAATACTTTAATTTCCAGAAAATCATCTAATTAACACCCAATTTTGATTACTTTTCAAGGTTCAAGTTGCGTATATGGAGAATACTTTAATGCAGCGTTACACCAGTCGTTAAGATTACCTCATTCACCAGTTTATTATTTTAACCGTATGATATTTTGATGTTTTCATTTTAATATAGCCCTTGAGTAAAAAATATGATAATTTTCTTATTTCCTTTGTAAAGGTTGAAGCTAAAAAAGCTGTTCCAAAAGAAGTGATGAGTACAAATAATACATTAATAAAACAAAGACATCAGTTCATTCGTGCACCACTTCGTAAGTAAGACGTATACTTTATTTTTTCTATCTAATGTCATGTCTTACTAAGTTTAACATTACTTTTCCCCTTTCTTCTGAGGAAAAACAAAATTCCTTTTGGTTGGGTTACTCATTTTGGAATTACTGCATAAAACAAAAGCAAATAAACAAGTATTCAGTTATTTCTCTTTTAGCCTTATTTTGTATGTTTGATTACGTGAAGTGAAACTCTTTGCATCCGTTAACATATTGACTTATAGGGTGAACTCTTAGAAGATTTCTAAAGGTAAATGTGAAGTTAATTTTGGTGAAATACGTATCTAGGATCACACTGCTAGTCACTACAAAGGAAAATAACTTCACGTTAATCCTTGGACGTCGTCGAAGCCTCTGTACTAATAGCTGATATATCAACAGAAACCGAGCGTTTCTCTCCAAATAATCAAACAACGGGAAATGCAAAACTAAGATTTAAAAAAGTGATAATAACCAATACCCATAATAAAAGAGGTGAATCTTTTGACCTAATGAAACAATGAAAGCAGGACTAGAGCTCAGTGAGATTACCACTATTTATTGGGAATGCAGGCGCATCTAGAGGAAAAGTCCAAAATGTGACGAAGTGCTCATTCTTGATTCTACTGCTTTTTGCAACAAACCAAAGACATAGACGTTATTTATTTAATTTTATAAAGATAGCAGAATCATAAAACAGCATAGTTCAACTGAACATTATGCCATGCAAGAGAGTGAGTAAAGAACAGATGTCACTAATTTTATCATTTTGTATTTACCACATGTAATGTCGACTTCATACTTTCTGCTATTCTGTTTCCTTACTGTAGCTCACTTTCTACCTGGGCAGTTGAATGGAGCAGCGGCGGCCGCAGCAGCTGCAGCTGCAACCTACACACTAACAGCCACATCACCAATTACAGCACGTCAGCCAAGTGCCTATGCTTACTTGCCTGGATATTATCTATCCCCAGGTGAGTGTCCTTTATCACAGCCGCTTTCAGTCTTCTTACCTCCAACTGCCATTCTGCCTCCTTATGCTAATGTGATCTCCATGACTTAAATATTGTAATCTAAACAGAGACTAATATCAATATTTAAAATGCATACATACTGTTATTTATATATATGGAGTAATGTTGAATGTGTTTAACTTCGCTCTGTTCACATACAACTTTCTATCATATGATATTCGGACAAAATGAAAACACTTGTTCGCCCAAATCGGAGTTGATGTCCTATTTTCCCCCCGATGTGTTGCATGCGTATTGTTATGTTTTGTAATCTATTACCCTTTTTCTCTTCATCAGTGTTTTTCGTATCAACATAACCTTCATGTCTATATTCTTGTTTATTTTATTCATATCTCAAAGTTTTTGACCTTTGATGTTTTACGTGTTGTCAGTTAATGTTTTCAATAAATGTGTGTCTATGTGAATCAATGTATGTTTCAGATGTTTCTGTTTTCTTTCAAATATGATTGTCTTTCCAAACAAACAATATAAACAAACAAATTAACATCTATCAATTAATATGTTTAATGGTTTTTAATTTTCCTTCTTGTTTTGTTCTCCCTGTCTCTCAGTTTTGTATCACCATGGTGTTCATCTCTAATTACTTCATGTTTTCCCTGTTGTCTACCTGCACTGTTGATTGATAATTTTATAAGGCCTAATGATTTTATTTTGTATAATATGAAAATGAGGTGCGAATTTTTTTTATTTCTAAAACTGACGTATGATTAATTACACCCTTGAATTATATACCTTTTTTCCTATATAATATAAACACGTATACCCAACAATTATGTAATCAAATGTAAAATTTCATTCAAACAATACCACTGACCGCCTATGATTTCGGCATTCAACAGTGTTTTCTTTTTTCCTGTCTAATTTTTGTGTGTAAAAACGTTTCGTCAGCCTTTTTCTGTTGTTGTGCTATACGTACGTAATACGAAGGAGTGATAAGATAACTATGATTATATATTTCAAGTGTTTTTTTCTCACTACTATTTTCTTGACAATTATTATTATTATCAAAATTAAAAATAAATCAGCTAAATTCTATCCAGTCAGCTGAATTTCCTCTACTCTTGTAAAAGTTTTTTTCTATAGTGTTTGTTTTGTGCGTTTGTACTAACAGCAGTGTGTTCATTTTGCGTGTACATATATAAAGTTTTACGCGCGTACGTGAAGACGAAGAAAGTAAACCCACACAAAGTATCTAACAGTATCTGGCCTGTTGCCAGATCGCTCAAACACATACAATTAAGAACGGACCGAATTTCAATAACAATACGGTGTGTTTTTTTTACAGTCTGACAACACGGTGGATGCGGAAAATCACCCAAAAAAATAACCTGAATCTGATTCACATGAATATCAGCCTACATAATTATGTGATCGCACCTAGTCAAATAATATTTGTTATCTAACTGTATTCTTCTACCCTAACAAAACAGTAATGATAAAACTTCTTCAGTGTATTATATGTCATGTATATTTACATTATACTTTCGTTAACAATCTTTGGAAACGTAAATAACTCCTTAATTTATATGTCTCCGCTTACATCTGATTCTGTGAAGTAGACATATGCGTGATTGTGTGGTTGTGTGCATGCAAATGCGCTTGTAATACAACTACGAAAGACAAGTTTGCTCATTCAACTGATATTGTATTTTTTCTTGATTTTGACTGAATCAATATTTTACTGTATTTTGTTCTTTTTTTGAGAGTATTTTGTGTTTTCATCCCTTCTCAAAAAGAAAAACATACTCAGGCGATTATCTACCTAGCTATCAAACGTTTCTGTGCTTTTCCTCCTACAATTCTATTCTGATTTTGTTTTCCCTTAATCACTACACAATACATGTATTCTGTACACATTTAAATACTTCATAGTATATGCATGTTTGCATGTGGTAGGAGAAATTGCACATAAAAATCCCCATATCACTATTATTAGTATGGTCAGTGATACTAATTGTATGTTTCACGTAAAATTCATTCATCACATTGGGATAAACTGTGAATTTGATGAAATTAAAGTTACCGATACACATATGATAAATGTGGGTTAGAACCACCAACCCCCCTCTGTTCTGTTGTTTGTTTTCATCATTTAATAATAAATAATTTCATTTACTTATTCTTTTCTCTTTACTTTGTATAATTTACTAAACCACACAATGTCTCATACTTTATACAGTAAAACTTAAATCTGAATACTTTTCATGTTGACTGTCTATATTTACTTCTGTGTGTGTGTGGTATCAATGAAGTGTAAAATTTCTTTTGGATTGACTAAATTTTGAAAACAATTGAAGATGTTTAAAGCAAAGTGCACTTAATACACTATTCATATCTCGTACTTTTCTTATTTTTTTTCTTTTTAACTGTATACTCCTTATTTGTTCCCTTCCTTTCACATGTGTTTGCTCACTACTCAGTGATTTTTGATTTGGTATGGTAATATGGTATTATCAATATAACACTGAAAAAAGAAAACATCAGTCAGATGTGACATTCTTAAAGTTATACCAGATCACAATGTGATTATTGTTACCCTCTATTAAAGACATGAAAAAAGGAGGGATTACATCATGCACACATACATTTTGTTTAATGTTTTCATCCTCATTCTCGTACATTCAACCCTTTTATGAATTCTACAATTATGTGTTATACATATGTGCATGTGCATAGATGCATGCATCTTGTAAGCCAGAAGTGAAGATGAGCAGACAATCATGCAAATAATTTCAATCTAGAATGTTTTTTGCACAAAAAGTTCATTACGATAGACGAATAAGTAAAAATGCCTAATCACTCAAATGATACAGACAATCAAACGATCAATCAATCAATCAATTATTCAGTCAACTGATCAGTTGAATAACTATTAATCATGTTATTTCTTTGTCCATAAGTATATATATGCCTTAAATATCATTATTATTATTATTAATATTATTACTTTTTTCAATGATAACTGCAACAAATAATCTAAACTGGCTCCCTTTTAAACCTTTGTTTTTTGTGCTCTTGGTCACTTTACTTTTTTCTTGTCTTCATTTTTTTCGAATTACGTTCTTTTTTCTACCCACCTGTAATTTACAAAAATTAAAAGAAAATGGTGTCTATAAACACACACAAAAAAATGAAACAAACAATCCGAAATTCAACGAGAAAAATGAAACAATAATTAAAGTGAAAATATCATTTATCTGAGTGTTTTTTTCTCTTTTTTGCTGTTTTCATTTCGCGGCACTAAGTCATAAGACATTAGTTTTCAGTGTTATTTACAGATATACCTACGTATACATGTATGTCTGTGTTATATCATCTACCCGTGGTAATACGTCATTGTGTGTATGTGTGTGTGTAGACATGCATAAATTGCATGATGCGTTGTTCGTAAAAACAAGTGTGTCGTTGGTGTGAAGTAATTTAACTGTGCATGTAATATATCCGACTGGGCAACAAGATCAATTCAACACTTATCAGTAATGTTAATTTGGTGTTACATTAGGTATACATAAATTAAAATCATTACTGACTGTAGATATCAATTTCCCTTGCTTTATGCATCCTTTTTAATGGGAATATGTATTGCAGTCATTTGAGTGATAAAATCCCTATTCTCATTATAAGTTTGACAGAAAATCTATATGTATAACAGTTTTAAAATATTGGTCGTATATGACTGAGAAAAGCTAAACTTATTAAAATCGACTTTCTACACATATAGTGAATACTGAAAAGGGAAACTTGTTTTCGAGAAACATCCTAGAAAGAATTAATTTTGCTTGCTTATTAACTTACTACTTATGATGTCTTTTGTCGAAATAATTCACTTTAAGTTAGTAAAGAAAGAAGATAAAACACTTAAAGTGTTTTTAATTAGATATACTTTTTTCATTTTAAAAATTGCTTTTGTAATTGTTAGCTTTTTATTTCATTCAAGACAACTCAAGTGATGAAACGACTGCCCCAGTCTAAGTGAACCTCACTTGGTCACAAGCAATGTCAAAAAAGCCCACGTGTAGCAGCATAAATACCATGAAAATGCAGCTTTATAGGTTTAATTTTGAAGTCGAAAGCCTAGATATGACTATAAAACGACATTTAATATCACCAACTAGCGTGAATTCTGAAGCCCTCCAGATAAATACGTCATAAAAATATTTTTCAATTTACAATTTGATGTTTAAATAAAATATATTACACATGTCATGAATATAAGCACACAACTCTAAAATAAGCGTTTTCGTTACAGTATGTCATCACCCACCCTATAAATTCTATTTGTCTTCTCTTCTGTATACAAACCACTTCAAAAATCATTAAAACTCAGAAGCACTCCTGATTGGACACTGGTTATTAACTGGTGTAATGTGCCAGGTCCTGTCTTTGGTGTAGATTGAATTCTTTCAGTAAAGTTTGCAATTTGGGCACCACGCTAGATGGTTCACCATCACGGTGCACTCTGAATTGTGGATGTTAGGTGGTTAGAAGCAATCGGCGAGTTTGAATCTCAGAAGGGACATGAGTTCCTTCAAGGGTGCAGGTACGTCTTGCCGACTGGTGAGTGCCAACTAGCACGAAACTTAAGTCAGGTGTGGCTTCTTACCGATTGCCTCTAACCATCTAATATCAACCCAGAAGTTAAACATTGTCTACGCGATACCCCGACTAAATCTCATTTGCGGTTTTGAAAAATTATGTCAGGAGAATTCTGATAGTATTGAAACTTTTGAATATTCAGAGTTATTCTGATTAATTTCATAATGATATTTTGTTGAATAACGATTCTAGAATAAGTATGGTCAGGGTCCTAATTGAAGAAGGATAACAATTGCCAGAGATTTATGTCTTCCAGCCACCTAATTTAATAATTCATTCTGAATTAATTTTGACATAACAAATTTCGAAATAACAAAAATAATATGACAGAGATAATGTTATGA